AATTAAAATATAAAATATTTATGTATTCCACATTAACATTATTCATTACAAGTACTATATTACTTTTCTTATATCTCAATCATATTTCATCGATGAAGCTTTTCATATATCGCAGACAATATGATACTGTGTGTGCAATTTTACACAGGTAATATATGGCACAAAAATAATTTGTTCTCAAGTATTGTGCGCATTTCTCAAAAATAAATCAAATTAAATTATTTTAAGTAGGATCCAAAAATCACTACATTGCCAGGATTGTATCTTATTATAACTGCGATATTATCACCTTTTAATATGTGTGCGCAGTATTACATACATAAAATATATAAATTTATTTGAAACGTACAGAAATCTTTATCTTATTTATAATATTTATGATATAAAAGAAAATTGCAACTCTAATGAAACAGAGCGGTGGAATAATTGGTTGATACTTATGCTGGTCTACAATATTTATCCTTTTTTCATCATTAGATTTTTGGTGCTTTTTTTATTATACAGATGTTATCTGTAAATATAGTACTTGTAATGTTGCTTCTGTATCACTGTAAGCACACAAAAATGATAGCATTTGCAGGTAATTATGTTATACTTATATATCATAAGAAAGAGAAAATAAAATTAAAGTTGAATACTGAATGCGCTCTAAAGTAAATCTCATCTAAATAAATAAATGCATAAATGTGCGCCCCACATTCCTCATGAAAAAAATACATAATATTAATTTTTATGTATTATTATTTTTAGATTTTTATTCTTTTAAATTCTCTAGATGCACTTTTCATTTCTCCTCTCTTTCTTTCCAACTACTAAATATAGATCTATCATTTTTATATAGATCTATCATTTTTATATAGAATATACATACCTATTGCAATAAACCAATAAAGAATGCTTTTACATTCCTCCTTATACTTTGGCATACATATCCTTCATGCCTTTATATTATCTCGCAACACGCTTTTATCGCATGATGACAAACAAGCCCATTATCCTTCATGAATTTTCTTTACAAATATTTTTATATTCTCAAACTGTGTAAAGAAATCATGTAACACTGAAAAATACAAAGTGATATTAAAAGAGAAGAAATAAATTTTATATTATATAGTATTGACAATTATTTTCTTACCAGTGTATTCCTTATATGTAGGAATATACATTAGTCTTTGACCAGCCCTATTTTTAACCGTCTTTAGGGATGCTTTAGCTTTTGATAACGCAAATCCAGCTAATCCATTTCCATTTCCAGTTACTATAAATGAACTGATTCTAGTCTTACGTGCTAAATTACCGGTCATACAAGTTATCATTTTGTTTTCCAAAATCCAGGTTTCAAAACTTTCAAATGTATCTGCAGAAAACAAAGATATTAATTATATAAGATTCTATTATTTAGAACTGAAACATCAAAAAAAAAATTGAAAATAGACATCATATCACATGATTTTTGTATGTGTGTAATTTAATCATTATAATCCAATAGCATAAATATTAACCTTTTTCAATAAGATCTAATTCAATGCTTCTGCCATCCATTGTAACACTCGTCCAACCACATTCCAATGGCGATAATTTTATTTGCATTGGTCTGGTCTGACTTTGTGGTAATTCCATAAGTTTTTGCTTTCTTTCAAGATTTACAAGCAGTTTTTGCTGTTGAATTAATTCTTTTCCTCTAAACACAGGAGTGTTTAGACCAGGAAATTGTATCGGAATTTTTGCCATGCCAATAATTTGCTCCTTATTTAGGAGCTCTCTCTTTTCATTACTCTTCTTGCTCTACCTCTGCGTCTTCCTGCATTACTGATACTTGTCACACCCTTTCATAATTCATCTTTAGGTCCTATAGAACAAAAGCACAGTGAAATACAAATTATTTTCTACTGTAAATGTAAACTATTATCAAAATATATATTCATAAAAGTTCTACTTACTATTCGCAAAAAATATAGAGTTTCTCACATTATTTAATAAAGTGACTATTTTTAATAAATGTGAATGACTGACAAGCAAAAAAAATTAAACAATATTAAACAATAATATACCTGAAAAAAATTTCATAATTTTATTAGAGTTAAATTGATAAATTAATTTTAAATACACATTATATGTTAATTACATATAATGATTTAGAGACAATGATATATTTCATTTGCGTTACCATTGTTTACAGATTGAATATTTTTTATCAAATTATTTACAACTCTAAATATGTAGCATACGACAAGCCATTTTTAAAATCTATAAAATAAACAATAAAGTTGTTCATAGTTTTCACTCTTTTTTGTCATAGTCTGCTTTTAGGCGATCTTAAAGTCACTAGATTAACAAAGTACCGCAATTTTGATCTCAATAAGATAAGCTGGAGCAAAAATGGCGTCCGATAGTATAGATATAGGCTGCGATTGTTGCATTTCTCCACGCAACAACCTGGCATTTTTGATATTTTCTTCTTTTTCTACGCAACAGAAGGAGTTTTCTCACCTCACACACAACAAGACACAGGACAAATCAGAATCAAGAGAAAAATTGCACTTAGTATAGATAGCTACACAAAGTGTGCACTATCTGCACTATCGGACGCCATTTTTGCTCCATCTTATTGTATCTTATTGAGATCAAAATTGCGATACATTGTTAATCTAGTTACTTTATTATCGTTCAAACAGCAGCGACATCTGTGGTGAGTTCTTGAAATCACTTCAAACTCGTTTGAATATAATAATTAATAATTTTAAATATTTGTGAGGTATCGTTGGTCCTGCGAGAACTTAAGTTGAAGATTTCACGAGAATTATGTGTTATTATTAGACATTATTTAATATTGTGCGTGTGTCTGTAACATATAAAATATTTATGACATTGACATTATCTGGATAAATGCGATGAAATCAAATGGAGTGCATCATGTCGCAAGGTATGTATAACCAACCTCACTCAAGAATAATTTTAACTGATATACATATAAATACCTGATAATAATTAATACAGATGTGATTAACAGAGATAATATGATCTTTTATTATTAAGATTTTCGAATTTTTTTCATTAGACGTGAAACATTTCGTAATTATTTCAAACAAAATCGTTGCTTTGTTTGCTATTTTGTTTTATAAAATAATAATAATCTTTCTTAAATATACTACATTATAATTATAAAAATATATAAATATATAAATAATATAAAAAAATGTGCAGTAATTTTTAACAAAAAAATTCGGTTTATGACTGCCATTATTTCAATTATATTTCGTCGAGTCACTGATAATATCATTCTTTAGGAATATCAGGTGAAAATAGAAATGAAAAAGTCACATACAATGTGGATAATATTCATATATTTTTATGTATATATACAACAATATTTATTTTACAAAATCTGATACAAAGTTATCGTAACAAAATGTAAAAGATAAAATATATTTGTAACAATAACTGCTATATCATACTATATATATGTCATTCGACACTTACATATTTGCCATACATATTTTTCTAATCCTTTTATATACCTATCATTTTATCTTTATACATTCATAATTCAAATTTTATTAAATGTTTTAAGAAAGTAGAAAAGATACAAAGAACAATTATTCTATTTATTTTTTCTAATTCTTTTAAATTATTTATTAAATATAAATAGGAGGATTGATAATTCAAATATAATCTGCAATGTTTATATTTTATCGTAGTCGTTTTTATTTATTTATAATATTTAAATGAAAAATCATGTGCTCTCTAGTGAAAAGAAGTTATTGTGAGAAGGTTTAACGAATGGCCCATTAGCTCAGTTGGTTAGAGCGTCGTGCTAATAACGCGAAGGTCGCGGGTTCGATCCCCCCATGGGCCAACTTTTTTTTATACTTTTTGATTTTGAACAACTTATAAAATAATTAATATTGATAATTTTGATATTATTTAAAATAAAAATAAATAGAATTGTTAATACAAGATGTAGAAATATTTTTTTATTTTGATAATATAAAGAACGATAATAATATTAAACATTATGTGATTTTAATATCGTTTAATTATATAATTTCGGAATCGCTATAATCATTGTTCGAAAATTGAGTCAAATATAATAATATAAGTAAAAGAATCAATGATTACGTTCATCTTCAAATTTTAAATCTCTCCGGTACACATACACATACATTTGCAACAAATATGTGTTACTCTTAAAATAACTACTGTATTTCGTTATATTCATTATGCACTTCAATATATACCCGTATATTGTCAAATAAACGGCTGCACATACGACACGTGTTATTATACATGTCTATATAAAATATACGTCATATCTGTGCCATCAATACAATTATATCAATAAAATATTCCTGCTCTTAATGTCTGAGAGAGCCCTTTGATTCGCTCGTTTTTTTTTGTGTATACTTAATATCCAACTCAAAGTAAAAATGAACAATTATATTAAGTATTGTATAAATAATGTTTTTTTTCACGGGACAATGTGTATTCGTTAAGTATTTTTTTCTTCATCGAAATATCGCGGACACCTTAAATGCTGATTCATGAAAAAAAATGTATACAATGCAGATAAACATAATCACGGACCAAATCAGATTGCGCAAATTAAGAATTCGTTCATTGTAACTCTCTCAGTTTTGTCTTTTTAATTTATTTTTTTCATTAAAAGCAAATTCTTTATTTTTAATTATTATGTAATCAAGATCAAGATTATTAATCAATTCGATTTTAATAGAAATATAAAAGCTATAAAAAATATAAAACATAAAATATAAAACATAAAAATATAAAACATAAGATATAAAACACTTTTTGATAATCTTAAATTAATTTCAAAACGTTAAATAAAATTTAGATTAAATAGGCAAAACAACTTACAATTTATACTATTTGTTTACGTTCTTGATTTTTAGACGTCTTCATTAAAATATTTTTATTAAATAAATATATATATATATATATATATATATATATATTTTAATAAAAATGTTTTTATATCGTCAATAATTTTTAAGCCATAATCAATTACTGCTACGATACATAACGAATACTCTATAATCCCATAATAAACTTGCTTAAAATATAGCACAATAAGGTTGTTAAAAATTTTTTTTTTTATATAACATCTACAAGTCTATTTTGGAAAAATAGGGTAACATATAATTATATACTTACAGTTTATTTACGGAGATCTCCAAAGTTAGAATAATACGATCAAATTGTTGCCATTCTCGAATTCTTTCTTGTCTCTATTATATTAATACCATGTTCTATACAGAATTATGATGCGACAGTTCTTCGTTAATTTTTTTCATTCCTTTCTTCTGGAGTTTTTCTGAAATTTCACGCTTTTTTGTGACGCTCCTTTTTTTAAAAGTAAGACGCCACTTTCCACCATTCATTTCTTAAATCGTATATCCTAAATTTCCGGATTCTCTTTCTTCACTTTTGTTCCTATTACACTTTGAAATAGTTGAAGAGAGTAGATATTGCCATCCAGGAGAACCTCATAACAGCATAGGCCAGTATAAGTTTAAGCGCTTGATGGCTCCAATATAATCTGTAATACGAATTATTTGATCAATTTGATGTTTTTATAATTAAATGATTAAATATAAGAAACACTCTTTATATAATAATATTTTTTATTTAAAAAATCCGCGTTCACAAAATTTATAAATTCGAAGTGTTGAAAAAAAGAATTTAAATATTTAAGATATAATGAAATAACAGAACAAGAAATTTAAAAATCTCACACAAATATTATAATATATACGTAATCTTTCAGTTTCTTTATCAAAATATTATTATAAGTATTATATAAAGAACTATACATCGAATGTGATAAATTCTACATGAAATATTTTTAAAGTTATATTCAGAAATAAACATGCACATGCAATTTCGTATCCAAATAATTAAAATAGATAAAAATTAATATTAAATTTAAAAAATTTCTTTTAAATACAACACGATAAGAATATATAAGTTTCATTACCTTTGCCATTTGACACGTGCCTGCGGCAGAGTGTCTAAGGGGTCCTTAATGAGATATACCCTTATTCCACTAATATACGTTTCGAAGTAGACGTTCCAATCGACATTCCGTATATCACAGAAGAAATTCTCGCGATCTTTAGACGTGAATTTCGCCATCAGCGCATGCAACCGATCATTGGTAAATTTCCATTCTTGCGTGGAAAAATAGTTTAGCACATCCATAAATTTATGTATTTTTTTATAAACCTTAAGTAATCTGCAATATACACAATCTTATATTATATAATAAGCAGTTAGAGAATCATATAAATATAAAATTATTAATATGAAAGAAAAGTAAAAATTTGTTTTTTTGTGTAATCATTCTAAATCGCATTCTAAATTATTTTAAATTATATCTGTTATATGTATATATTTAATATTCTATTATTAATTTAAAAAAAACATTAAAAAATATTAATATAAATTATTATTATTATTAATATAAAATTATTATTAATATAAATATGTATTATTTATTTTTTTACAAATTATGTAAATATTTAAATGCATTTTTTAAAACATTAATACTTTTATAAATATTAAATTATAAAAAGGATTTTTATTTTTTTATTTTTTGCTTTCTTTTTAACTTGCTGAAATAAAATTTTCGATTACCTCGGTTGTCTTCCCATACAGACAGTCGCAGTGTCGACCAACAAAGCCGGGAACAAATGACAAAAATACACAAAGAATAGGTGAACTAGTCTGTGTTTATTGTTTCTGAAGCTGTAGTACCAGATCGCCCTGGTCGAGGGAATCTCAAGACCATACTTCGCTGACATATCTTTCAGTTGATCATAAGTTATCGGATTGTCTTTAGACACATAATTATAAATCGGAATATCGGAATGCGATTTATTGTTTGATCTGAAACGATGATGCAACGTTATATGATGACACATTGATTTTCACAAGTACTTGATGAAATTATTTGTGATTGTCTTTGCATATATCTACATGGGAATTTACATCACATTAAACAATTACTCACACAGAAAAATGTAAAGCGTCAACAATAATTAAATCGATTTATGAAAAATTGGCTAATCAAGCGTCTTCGATTGAAATTTTTCGCGTGCTAATAATATCAAAACATTTTGCGTTATTTGACGATTAAATCGCAATTAATATTTGATATACGTGATGCGCGACGTCAAATCGTATCAATGAATGATAAGAGGCATGGAAAAGATAAGAAAAAAACAAAAGGAAAAAAAAAAAGAGGGAAAAAATACGGATGAGAGTACCTTTGTATATTTCCTATATCCCATGCACACGCGATTAGAGCGTTGACAGTAAAATCGGCAGGTACCACATTTGCATGAACCGAACCATCGCAATGGATTGATCGCAACAATCCAGTTCCAGCACCGGCAGCAACTCCCGTTGGACCATACAAGTTGTCGATCCAACCCCGCACCGGTTCTATGTATGTTGAAATCACTGGAAATAAAAGGAATTTTGTTTGCGAGATGAATTAATGATATAATAAAATTCCAAGTAATTATTTTCATCATTTAAATAATCGAATGTAGATAATCAAATTCACGTTTTTTTGTATACAAGATTTCGAGATCCCTCTTAAAAATTTTTGTTCTTTATCATCGTTTACTAAAATACTCTAGTATTGAATGTTATTATGAATAAATGGTAATTTATGCTAACCAATGGCGGGTCGAAAAACGCCGATTGGCAAATCGCCAACCTGTTTCCTAATCACATTCTCAGCGACTGCTTTCGTATAGGTATAGGTGTTCGGCCATTTTCCTAATAATCTGTAAACAGCGAGAAATAAGTTTTTCTTTTCACGTGTTTCCCCTCTATCTTCTAAGCTAAGAATTCAAATAGAGAAGAGTCCACGTACTGCGGAGTGATGTCTTCAGCCAACTTGTCTTCCACACATTCCATAAGAGCAATTAGTTTGTCAGAGTCCATTGGCGGATCATAAAACTTCTCCTCGATCACTCTTTGCGGACAGTTTGCGTACGCAGTCGACACGTGTACAAAAGACTGAGGAAATTGCATAAAATGATAATGGCGCTTAAGTCAAACACACGAACGCTTACATGAGCAATCGTATGTCAAGAAACCCGACTATTAATAATTTCTGACTCCCTTATTTAAATTTGTATGAATCAAGTGTCGGAGATCCGTAATTTTTCCATGAAAATTTATTCGACTGGATAAATGATAAAACGAGATGACTCAAAATACGTCACGTGATTCATGATTTTATTTTTTTTTTAATTTTTATATATTAGAATACCTTCAGATTCGGGATCTCCTTGCAAAGATTCAGAATGTCTCTCGTACTTCTGACGTTAATTGGCACCGCTAGTTTCAACTTCTCATCGAATCTGACCGTAGCCGCGACGTGAAAAACGATTGAAACTTCCCGAATAATAGTGGTTCGATCTTGCCAGGATATTCCGAGATTCGGTTGACTGCAATCCCCTGCTATAGCGACGATTTGATGCCGAAACTTTGGCTGCTCGTCTCTAAGTTTTATAAATAGCTATGCAAATTGGAATAATAATTAATGATTAGTTGAATTAAGAGCGACTTATCGTCTTGTTTATTTTAATATTAACGTTCTTAATCGACTAAAATTAGGCGTGTTAAAATTAAATTCTTTTTGAATTGAAAATATGAAAATTCTGCAAGAAGCAAAGTATAATTAGATAAATAAATTGATATAAAAAATTGATATAAAAAAGTTGATTATATTAAAAAAAATAATCTTTGAAAGAAATTAAATGGAACGTTGACGTGACGTCAATGTCGAGTGTTAATTGCTGACGTGCAATGTACGTATTATACACTCCATATATATATGTCATGTACAAACAGTAAAGTACTAAGATCTGTGTGATTGCATCTAATTATTTACTTCAATATTATGGGTCATCATAATATTAAATTTTAAATTAAAAATCTAGAGGATGATAGATAAAAAGACAAGATTTAAAGATTATGTTAAAAGATCAAGGATCTTTTATCTCAATTCCAAAAACTCACCGGATCGTCAAAGATCTCTTCGGTGCGTTGATGCACGTCTTTACCCTTCTTCGGGCGCACCAACAAATAGATCGAGGCCACTCCAGGACACGTCCTGAGAAGCTTCTCAATCAGCAGTTTGCCCATAAAGCCGGTACCACCAGTAATAAAGATGCTCTGACCATAGTAGAACTCCTGAATCGGGGACAGGTTCTCGTTGATCGGCGACGAGTTCTCCGTCAGCGAGCATTTCGTCGGTGATTCCGATATGCAATTCGAGTCAACAACGGCCACCTCCTGGCCATCGATACGATCCAAAAGCACCTCCACCATCGCTTCTCCGGGCTTGCACCTGCAACGACGAGAGTCGCGTTTCTTCACCGAACCGATCGTATCTAATTGGTATTCGTAGTCCGGCGCGTTACGAGCCGCGTCGTGTCGAATTTAAAAAATGACTGCCTTTTTCGCGAGTCTTTCGCCGTCCATTCGATTGATTAACCGACTGGCGTCGCGTTGCGTTTTGCCTCGCTTATTATCACTTGTAGGAGATTCGCGAACCTCACTTCATTCACGTGACAAATAGATATGATAGACGAGAATCGCGATATTTATTGCAGATATTTAATCCAGCATCACAAGAAGTTATATATCTTTTGCGAAGTATCTTAATTTATTATATTATGTTATGTTTTTAAAACAAATATGCATATCGATCAAATACATATCTATTTTTCTTGTTGTTTTGTCCGATATTATGTAAAAGAAATTATTTAAATAAATTAGTACCATTTTTATGGAATATCATTAAATATATACAGAGTGTCCCTTTTAACTTTCACACCGTAATAATTCAAAAATATATGGCGTTTTGATAAAAAATGTTTCAAATAAAAGTTATAGGATTTGGAAAGGGAAAAAAGATAGGGATATATTAATTCGATTTTGGGTATTAAAGCCATGTGAAAGTCAACCTAGTTTTTTTAAATAGAACTATTCTAATTAGTTAACTCGATTCCTTACAAGATATTTTATACTTTAAGTTAATATAATTTTATACAAATTATACAATCTCTCATAAAATATTTATTTTTTGATTATTTTACCTCAATAATATTTTTATGGACGAGAATCACGATATTATCGTCACGAAGAATCATATTTTCTTATATGCTTATGAATAAAATTGATCATAATATTACATATAAAAATAGAAATACATTATTCATAATGCAAGGTTGCATGCCTAAGAATAGGTTTAAAGAATGTATGTTTAGTATTTTTTTGCTTTGAACATAAAATATTTATTTTCATTTTTTATATATTTTTATATATTTATATATTCATTTTTAAAGTAAATTTTTTTATGGATAAAAGAACCAAAAAAAGAAGCAAAAATATTCTTCTGCATAATGTAGAATATAATGAAAGAAATAATTAGTGTAAAGAAAACACATAATCCTTAGAAACAATATATAGCTGCTCGTTACAAATATTTTTCATATTTTTTCTAAAGAATAATTATGTGTTTTTTCACACTAATTGACTCTCATCATTCTGTATATAAAAGTATGAAAATATAAAGTATTCTGTGAAATGTATAAAAGTATAAAGTATTCTGTGTATAAAAGTGTATGTTAAGAATAAAACATACACTTTTATTTGAAATATAATATTTTTTAACAAAGCTATGTTTTCGAGTTATTTTAGTATGAAAGTCAGACATCCTGTATACTTTATATACAAAAGAGACATTTCCTTTTCTTTATAGAAAAATTTATAGCGATGTTTAGATATCTCTTTACTTATTGTCCGTAAAAAGTGAATATTTTTGAGAAAAATTTTTATTCGAATATAAAAAAATATACATTTTAAAATACGCTCAAATTTATTTTTCTTATTTGACAAATTGTTGATTTCGAATATGACATCTTTAAAGATGTTTTAATGATATTACAGAAATATTTATTTATTACAAAGATCTTTCAATGCAAATTTTTGATTGATATGTTTTATAATATAAATTGAATTTTTGAAAGGCCTCAATGAATGGAAATCATATTGTTTTGCTGTATAACTCTTATGCAACAAGCCATCGATACTTCATTTTCCGAATGCTTACTTTGTTGGTTGAAGAAAAACAAATATTGTATAGGTGTCAACATCATAAAAAAAGAATAATGCCAACTCCTTTGAACAGAGAACATCCCGTTAGTAGAATAATGTTGTTTATTAAAATATGAAAAAAAGCAAATATAGCCTCTATATGAAGGACATTATTCTTCAAAGTGAATCTTACCAAGGACGTAACGTTTGAACAAGAGTCACATCTCATGCTCTCGTCAAACGATAACACATTTACGCCGTATGTACATACATTCTGTCTCTTCGTCGAATATTTGCCGAGTTGCTTTTCAAGAGCTCTTTCCAATATATACGCAATCGTGCAAAAATCGGTTAAGTTGTTAAGTAATGCATGCGCAGCTATTACGTTATCGATAATTAGTATCCGATGAATGAATATGAAGATGTTTGCTACTCGAAAAATTAATACGCGATAAATACTTGAAACACAAAAGGACGCCGTTCTTTGCTGCATTTTAGTAAACAAAAAGTTTCGCGCAGGTGGATTTTTGCTTTTAGAGCAGGACAAAAAATCACTGTGCTCATATCATTAATCTTTCGTCCAGTCAATTCTCTCTTTCTCTCTTTTTCTTTTTCTTTCTTTCTTTCTTCAACAACTTTCAGTTTCTTATTTTCGTGATATTCATTCCTCATGAATAATGCATAACCGAAGTGGGATGTTTTCTGCAGCGATCACTGGAATATTTCGCTTTAAAAGAATTCATTAGAATAAAAAATTTTAATTCGCGAAGGAGAGAAAAATAGAAAAGGATGGTTTTAAATTTTATTTCGTATTTCGTATCTTCGATTAAATCTTTTTACGAATCACTATTTCAAATGATATTAATAAAAATACCCAATAGCATCCGAAAAAAATTCGAATGTTTCAAATTTTTTTCACAAAAAAAGCAATTTCAGGCTTTCTCCTAGAGAATTATAAATTTAATTAATATTACATAAATATCTATAAACATAAAACATAGGTGTAAAATATATCTCATCGTCCACAATGTAATGAATTAATGATAAACAATGAGACAAGTGTGAGAAATTACATCATATATCATTGCTTAAAAGCGAGAAAAATCACACTGATTTACTCAGCCTCAGAATAACGCAGGTTCTGAAAAAAACGCAGATTTGCGTCGAGAAGAGAAAGGTAATTTGCAAAACTTTTCATGCCGGTTCGACGTCGCAAACCATTTCATTTTGTAAGAGAACCGTAACCGTGACATAACAATTACGGATTGTGAAATATTTGGAATAACTAAATATTTCATATCAGCACACGTTAAACTCTTTGTACGACGTCTGTCATTTATTCACTGCACGTTTAATTTATCATATAAATTGTTAAAAGATTTTAACAATGTTTTGAAGATTTTATTTTTTCTTTAATAATTTATGATTATATATTAAGAGAAATTAGAGGAAATGCCACAAAAAAAAACAAAAAATAAAATACGTGAATCATGAATACACAGATATCTAATACGCTTAATGTGTGATTAATTAATTTTAATTAATTGAAAGTCAACAAATACTTCATGGTAAAAGTAGAAAATTATTCAAATGTTATTTCATGCATGTATTTCAAAACAACTATTTCTGCTTTTACTTTTTATTTTTACTTAAGCACGTTTCACTTTCATTTTGTGATAATTAGCATAAAATATATTTTAGCTAGATGATATACCGAAATTTGAATTATGTAAATTATAGTACCACTATACCGTTACATAACAATATTGTTACATTTCTTGATTAATCTTTGAGGATATTAATAAAAAATAATTGATGCTACAGCTAGTAATTATAAGTGAATCAAAAGTAGGCAACCCGCCAAGCGAATCGTTACGCATACCAGAAGCGCGGTCTGGTGAAAGTCGATCGTGAACTTCGAGCCTTCCTTCCTATGAAATAAAATTCTGGACAGACAATCGTCTTTGACTATGGTTGAGTCGTATAGATATAATGATGAAATGAAAAGAAAGCTCGAGCAAGCGGGAAAATGCGCGCAGGAGCGTTTAAAACGGGTGAACTAGGGGAGATGCTAGAAATTAAAAATATTCTTTTTATATTAATATAAAATATCTTTTATATAAAATATCTCTTTTATATTAAATATAAATAAGAACTATAAATAAGTTGAAATATGTATATATGTATATACATACATACATACATACATACATACATATGTGTGTGTGTGTATGAGTCTTTATTAACAATAAAAATTTTATTTATTTAATAAATAAAATGATATAATTATATAATTTAGTTAATAAAGACTTTTTATGAAGGAGAAATAATATAAAATATACGATATACTTTAAGAAAATACTCAAGAGATTCATTGATTATATATATAATAGTCATCAACGAGTCTTTTGAGTTTTTCTTAAAGTATATATTTTTTTAAAAATATATTTTAAGTATATTATATATTTTATATATATATTTTGAGAAAAACTTCAAAGCTTCATTGATATCTCTTATATATATATATAACTATTAATGAATCTTTTGAGTCCTTCTTAAAGTGTGTCACATATCTTTTACAAAGTAACATTTGAATAATAAAAAAAACTGAAAAGATTTATAGTTAACGAGTCTTTTGACTTTTTTTTAAAGTCACATACTTTTTATTACGTTATTATTCTTTCATACATAATTCATAAAGATTATTTTCATTAACAAATAAATAGAATTTTATTGCATTTTGCATTCTCACACTATATTGCATCAAACACAGAGATTTAAAGTTAAATGTAAATTTTAACCTATGATGTTTTTAAAAATGATGCAAAGAAGTGACAGATATGTTAAAGAATTATAAAAGTCTTTGATACGTTGACTGATCAAAATTCAAAATTTAATGTTTATCTTTTAAATTGCGTCATTAATCAGTAGTTATAATCATTATATTATTTAATCCAGTAGAAAAACAAGAAGCATTTAATTGTCACTGTTTTTTGCGGATCAAGAACATACTCTAAATCTTAAAAGTTATCTTGATATATGAATCTTTATATTTCTTTTCAATGATTTTTATATGCAATAAATAATATCTCTGCGTTTCTATTTGTCTTCGAATTTATATAATATATGCTGAATTTTCTATGAGAATTCTACAGCATCCATATGCCTTAGCAGATCTGCGTACAACTGGTTACGTCACATCTGGAATTGAAAGAGCTCGGGCGCGGATAATTTCGCCGGATACGCGGC